TGCTATTATTACTATTATTATTATTACTATTTCTATTACTGTCATTGCTATTACTAATATTTCGTTGTTGTTATTATTATTATCATTTTTATTATTACTATTACTATTATTATTATTCCACGGTTTAGTTGGGAATTCTCGATTGCAGGCTTTATTTTAATCAACGTTTTTACGGTATTGGCATTCCTTTTTTTCGATTCTTATAAAAATTAAAGTTTTTTTTTCCAGGTTTTTCTCCATGCTTATTGTTATGAATGAATAAACGTACTGGGCATTCCGCGAATGAATCGACCACTAACTGTGGGTTATTTTATGAGCTGAGACAATCAGCAGAATGTAGATTATCCATGTTATTCGCGCCCCTGTTCCTGCTATTGCCGCTGCTGCAATTGAATCGAAATCCTGTTGCTGCATGATGAATTTGTGGTGAATTTACTGTCATGGATCGAGCCAAAAAACGCCTCGTATCAGCACTCGATGGTTTCCGCAATCAGCACAAATCGGAGATTGAGCTGGATGAGAAAATCACACCGTCGGATGTGTGCTTGACACGAGTGAGAAAATTTTTTTTGAATGTATTTATGTATTTGATTTTTTCAATATGATTAAATTTTAATACATTAAGGTGTATTTCGATGTATTAAATTTGTTAAAAATGCATTTTAATGCATTAAATTTATTAATTTTTTAATTTAAATATAATTTATTAGGTTAAAATTTTTTAATTTGTTAATTTTTAAATGTTTTTTTAAAATCAAATATATTAAACTTTCAATATATTAGTGTGTTTAACTTTTTTTGATATAATGCATTTTTATTGTATTAAATTTATTTTTCTTTAAAGAAAAATTCAAAAATGTGCTTTTTGATTCAAAAAAAATTCAATTTAGACTTGATTTTAGTAAAGTAGAACTAATAAGAGCTGGTAAATCGCCCGGGCAATCGATGTAAAGAACTCGTGCCAGCGATGTTACTGTGTTGTTCCTATACACCGAAACAGCTAAGCCAGGCTTTTCGATCGTGAATTGCGTACCTCCAGTTAGTACCCATCGCTTGTTCGATGTATGTGCACCATTTTTTTTTTTCAGTGGGCAATCTTGTGTTCGTTTATTTTTTTTTTTTTGATCGGAAATAATTGAAGTCCCTTAGAAATTAACGGAGTTTTTGAGCGGTAATTTTAAAGCCGGAATTGAGATATTAGAACTTCTAGTAATTAAATTTAGCACCGAAATAACATTTGTGTTTATTGAAATTGAAGCCAAAAAGGAGTTAATTTTGCAGTAATTCAAAGATTGCTTAATTTTCTGGCAAATTCGTATAACTTTAATTAATAATGGTGCAACAATACAAACTGTAAAATATTCAGTTGCCCATTTAAGTAAATAATTTCTTAATTACTAGATAGTGATAGTAAATTTCAAAAAATCTGTTTATCAAAAAATCTGTCAAAAAATCTGTTTAATCTGTTTATTGCGTTCGGTTGAAAACAAAAAAACACAGTACAGAATTAATATTCTAATTGACAATACTTTCTGAAGGAAGGCCAATGGGCGAAGATTACTAGTAGCTTCGTCAAGGTCCATCACAGAATGGGCACGGACAACCTTCTTAGGCCATTCATACCCAAATTTTTATAGTTCGAGTTCTAAAAACTTGAAATGTTTTTGGTTTTACTAATTGTTCGGTTTTGTGCGGTGATTAAATTAATGATTGGTTCCGGTAATTTTAATTTTTAGTAGTTAGATTTTGTTTTATTTGCTCACTTTAGTAATCCTTTTTTAGTAATTCATTTTAGTAATTTTAGTAATACATTTTAGTAATTTTAGTAATTCATTTTAGTAATTTAGTAATTCGCTTTAGTAGTTTCACTAATTCATTTCTAGTAACTTCGCTAATTTTAGCAGTTTTCATTTTTAGCGATTTTAGTAATTCATTTTAGTAATTTTGGTAATTCATTTTATTAATTTTAGTAATTCATTTTAGCAGTTTTAGTAGTTCATCCTATTAATTTTAATAGTATATTTTAGCAATTTTATTAATTCACTTTAGTAATTCATTTTAGTAATTTTAGTAATTCATTTGAGCAGTTTTGCGAATTCATTTTAGTAATTCATCTTACAGTAACTTACTTTTAGTTTTTCCCTACTAGACCTATAATTAACAATATTTCAGATTGTAAGACATGGTTTTCCGGATGATCCACGATGCATGGCATATGATGCAGTGCAGCGTTTGCTTGCTGTTGGCACTGGGCATGGGGTGGTGAGGATTGTCGGTGATGTTGGAGTGGATTATTGCCTGAAACATGAATCAGATGCAGCTGTACTTCACATACAATTCCTCATGAATGAGGTTTTTCCCCTTCCTTTGCCCCTTGATTTTTTCTTATTCCAAAATGGACAATATATTTGAGAACAGTTGAAACGTATCATTTCCAGATATGTCTGATTTCCAATGATTTTTATAAATATACTAAATACATTATAATTAATATCAAAAGTTGAAATTCCTTCCACATTTATTCTCTATAAAAGGCAGTGGCAATTATAATGTTGTCAAGTAGTAACATATGCCAGTGACAATCACTCGCTAGCAAGGCTGTCAATGACTCCCTCTTTCGATAGTTGAATAAAAGCAAGTTGATTGTGAGCAGTAACAGTAATAATAATTAAGATAATATTGGTGGTATGCTGATATTAACTGCGGTAATGATGATGATAATATAATGATTGTAAGAGTGATACATGCCTCGATAAATGAAGTGTTGCAGTTATTATTGTCATCATTATCATTATCATTATCATTATTATTATTATTATTATTGTCATTATTATCATCATTATTATTATTGTTTTTATTACCATTATTATTATTGTCATTATTATTATTGCCGTTATTATTATTGTCATTATTATTAGTGCCATTATTATTGTTATTATTATTATCATTGTTATTATTGTCATTGTTATAATTACCATTGTTATTATTATCATTGTTATTATTATCATTGTTATTATTATCATTGTTGTTATTATCATCAACATTATTATTTTTATTATTATTGCCGTCATTAGTAGTGAGTGATGATAACACAGTAAATGACGGCAACAGCAATCACAATTGTAATAATATTTATAATTGTAATAACATCACTGGTGACACTTTGACAGCACTGATTGTGATACTAATAAATTTCGTCAAAAAAACTTTAAAAAATTTGTTTTTTCGGTGGCAAAAAAAATCACTGTATGGATTTTCAGGGAGCACTGGTTACAGCATGCCGCGATGATCTAATACATTTATGGAATTTTCGTCAAAAGGTACCAGGCATTTGTTGCTTTTCTCTTTATTTTTTAAAGCGGTGGGGCGGGGAAGATTTAAATATAATGCAGTTTTGTGAGAAATAGGAATTATAATTATTTTTATTTGTTTTATGCACTTTTAACTTTTGAATTTTCTAAAATTTTGGTTTTTATGTACCAAAAACTTTGTTTTTTTTTTTTTACTTTTTGATATTATTTTATCGAAAAGCTCATTCATTTGTTATGTTTGTGTTGCATATTTGCACAAATTTCGTTTTTTTTTTATGTTTTTGTTTTCCATAACATCTCATATTCACTTATGATGTTTACATTTTGCAGGT